TTCGATGCGGACAATCCAGCATTGAATGTTCCACCATTGACCGTTCCGATTCCTAGAGAGCTACCCTTAAATGTTGGATAGTGTAAGTGTACTGAGGTGCCAGCGGTCTCTTTACTTTTTCGCGATTGCCAATCTCTTGCTAGCTGGCGATCAGGCCGAGTATCCTAGTAGAGAACTTGGAAAAGTAGTAGTATCCTTGACTATGCCTTTATAATTTCTATCTAATTTGTTTTCATCCCACCAGATCGACTGAGTCTTGAATGCAGATAATCTTAGATATTTTTAACGACATGGTTTCCTTTTGACGGCAAATGGGTCGCTAGATGTGTTCTTCTATTTGACAACTTTTTATTAACTGTGGCATAACTGTACTTAAATCCCTCTTTAGACACGCAAGACAAAATGGTAAATAAATGTGTGGTTGTGGTAAATATTGTTGTCCAATCTAAAATAGAAACTTAGATGAGGCAAATAGAGATGGCTAATTAATCAAAACATATTTTTGACATATCAATATATATAATCAGACACATAATTATTTTATTTTTATATTTTGATATTTGTTAGATTATTTGCTGTATCTAAAAATATTCAATCAATCTATCGTAATATGGATTGGATTAGTGAAAAGTTACCTATTTTGTGCAGTTATAAGAGTAGAAAACTTGAAATTTTTCATTTACTAAGAAATGTACTTGCTGATCCCTTAATTAATACAGCACTGTAAATTTCCTATCACTATAAAATTATTTCCGACTTTCAATTTTTCATAAAACATGGTATACATAAATGATTGGAATGAATATCAACAAGCAGCAGAAGAACTCTATCAGAGCTCTCCTAAAACGGTAAGGGAAAATGTAAACTTCTATCGTTTAAAAAACAGTTTACCAAGAGAACAAAGTACATATATATAACGACGTGCGCTTTACCTTATATAATGATAAATTTAAAAAGACACGATACGTAATAAGTTGGCGACACACTCAAGGTCAATTGGTGTTGAAAGTTACAGATGATCGTACCTGTCTAAAATATAAGACGGATCAATCATCCGATCTTAAAAAATTCGAACGGTTGAATAAGTCGTTGTTGCTGAAAATGCAAAATCGGCAGGAGACTAATACGACTGGTGTGGAGGATAATAGTTTAGGTATTTGAATCGCTAAATTGTATTTGATCTTTTTGAGAATATATCAAAGTTTATATTTTAACGCGACTTCAATAAAAGTTTCTGCAACTTTATCACAACCATCATCGTCTATCCCCGTGGCTACGACACCTAACGTCCAAGCATCGGCAACTACTTCCATTATCCCTGTAACAACTGCGGCATCATCATCAACGAAACCAGAGTCGAATCCTGCCCAGACCACTACAAAAAAGAAGAAAGGAAAGAAGGGACGATAATGATTAATACAGTCCCATTATTCTGCCTTTTATTTATTTATCTTTTTCAAAAGATTTGTGTTCTACTATTATTTTGATAATCTTTGAGTGAACATTATATTATTTATTTTTGAATGAAATTCGAATTTAAATCATATTATCTAAAATATAACGGGATTAATTATTCGAAAAAAATCCGAATAATTATGTGTTAAAATAATATTATCAGGTGTATTATGAATTAATTATTCTATAATTGAAAATTTACCCTTTGTGTTGACTAAAATTAAAATTAAAGTCAGCCTAAAGAAATATCTTCCAAACCAACCAACTATTTTGTTCTCGCAACCTAATCCCAATCATCATCATCATTATGCTGAGTATTCGAAAATCCAAATATTGTTTTTCTTTGCGTATCTTGTTCTGGCTCTTTAGCTTTTATTATGACACCTAAAAGATATAATTTCCAGATTATTTTCTAATAAACTTTTAGCTCTAGTACTAATACGATTGATACCTACCACTAGTAGATAACCGAACTTCTAGTATCCCCGTGTTAAAAGAATCCGTATTACCTAATTCATCAAAGCCAACAATTCTTAAATTATCAAGTAAAAATATTAGAGAAAAATAAATTGATCGTAGTACTTAATAATAATAATAATAATGATGATGATAATAATGAGTTACCGGTCAACGGAAATCCCATCAATAAAACAAATAACGCACGGTAGAACTTGAACATTCAGTTTCTCTACTAAAAACGGCGCGTTTTCGACATCTATCTTCAAAAATCTAGTTTTGAAGTGTTTTTGTGCTAATATCTGAATATCATTTTTACACGTTTAGTATCATTTTTATACATATATACTTGACTTAGTTGTTATACCTTTAAATGTTTATCCATTATCTGACATCTTCGAAACTCTTTGTGAAAAAAATGCACAACACAATTTTTCGTCGATGTCGTAATTTTTAACACCTCTTTTTCTTCTGTAACTTCTGTCAAAGTGCCATGATCACTTGCTCGCATTTCTTGAAGTTGCTGCATTCTAGATCCAAAAAAAAAGGTTAATCAATCGATATCTCAAGTAATTCATATAAAATCGTTGAATATACTATAAAAGCTACCTACATACTCTTTTTTTAGCTGTTCTAATCTTTTTTCTCGAAAATTCGAAACTACAAAATCATCATTCTCCAAGTCTTCAAATAGCTCATCCTCGGATAAATTTTCAACTTTTGCAGATTCAACACTATGAACCTTTTCTTTTCCATGTACATCTTGGTACTCATTTTCTGGATTATTTGTAGACCTGTTCAAAAAAATGATAATGATAGTAACACCCTTTCAGATACTGGCAAACAAGTCTCGGTAAAGGATAGCCTTACATACTGTTCGTTTTCAGCGTGGTCAGACATGATGTATTCTGACGTGAAGTTATAACTTGTTACAATCGCTATATAATGAGAAAAAATTGCACGTGATGCTTATTTTTGAGTTTTTTAACTTTTATATGCTTTATAAGAAAATAATGGATAAAAATTCTAGATTAATGCGCTTTAAAATCTAATATAAAAAAATGATTATTTTATGTTTAAGCTAAATCGGACATTTGACCTCAGTCGTTTTCATCTCACTTTCTCATTTAGTGTATTGAGTCTTCGATAACAATAATAATAATAATAATAAAATAATAACGAACTTAATTCAACAAATCAAAGTTAGGCAAATGCTCATCTATGCTGAGGTTAAGGTACAACAATGGAATACACTCAATCGGTGAACTCGATTTTTCTCCATTCTTTCGACTTATCGTCTCGAACCATTTCCACGGTCGGCCTAGTAGCAAAAAATCTCGATATATCATTTTTTTCATTAACATCGCTCAATACACACACACACACACATACCAGTAATGATAACAAGTTTTGATTGCCAAGACCATTGGTATCATATCAAAAGTAATAATTTTCACGCGGACATAGGTGTTGTCAGGAAATTTGCGCACTGCAGCGACAAAAGAGCCAAGATCTGGTGTGGGAATTCCATTAATTTGGGTTCTAGGATAGAAAACTTAATATCAGCTAAGCTGTTTAATCGAAAAAGCCAAAAAGTTGGTTACTTACATCCACATTGTAGGAACCTAAATATTGAGAATAAAATTCGAGTAAATCAATAATTCATTCACATAATTATTCACATGTATAATTCCAAATGCTCACCATTCCATACATATAAGAGGGCGATCCTTTACTGCGAGCCGAAATATAAACACGGGACGGTAACGATTTTGATTGTTGTAGAACAGCTTTGTGTGGCTCTTTGGTATATAAAGATTCACATGTAAATAATTAACCCTCAGCGTTTAATAAAAAATCAATTCAAATTTAGAAATATCCTTCTTACCTTGAATCGCAGCCCCCGCCCAAATTACGACTCTCTTCGTCCCATTTCCAGAATTAGGGATCGTAGGTACTTTCAACGTCATCTCAACTTTTTGTCGGAGAATCGTCTGTTATAAGAAAGTGTTTGAATTTGATCTCTACAACAGTTTCATTAATTTATCATGATAAATAGTGTACTCACGATGTCAAGTTCTTCTTTAGAGTATTGCACATCCATTTCGTACATTCGGGTGATAGTTTGCCCATTAACGGCTAGAATAAGGTCCAATTCTTTCAAGACACAAGCACTTTCGCTGCCAGTCTCAGTCCGTCGAATCAAGAAAAGTTGATGCCTATTTGGATTTGCATCTTCCACCTTACGAACCCATTCCTCTGTCAAGCCCATATGTCGAGCTTGGGCAATTTGTACTGGCATCAACTCAATATTTAAGAATCGCAAATTCGGTGTTTCCTTTTTGCGCAGAGCATCAAGCACCGGAAATATTGTGTGTATATGTAAACCTAAATGATACTCATTGTCATGCCCCGACAGATTTCGTTCTCCAAGATAAGAGAGCCATAAGGATTGAACATGTCCATTTGAATCTGTAAGCACACCACTTGAACATTGCTGTGCAAGCGGGGTGTCAATTGTGATTGCATCCAGATTTATACTCCTAAACACACACAAAATATTTGAGTTTGACGAAATTATATCAAAAGACCAGCTTTAGATTTCATACCTAAATCTCGGTGTAGCATTCTGAGGAATAGTCACACTAGTTATATCGGTTACGACAGTTTCCGAGCAAACAATTCGATGATTGTGATTGAAAGCAACCAGCGTGACTTTGTGCCCTTGCAATAAAGGGCGTTGACTCAACACAGCACTTTTCACAGGAGTCTCACCAATCAATTTAGGATCATAAGAAACAAAAGCAAAATTATGTGTTGGGTGAAGGTATTCCACTTTACCCGGAATAATAATCGAGTCAGCAATAGTAATAGAAATATCACCCATGGATAGTGGAATAATGCTGCGAGATACTACTATTAAACCTTTCTCCGCATCAACTACAAGCCCAGCGCCTTGTTTCTATTTTCATATATGTGCTGATGTGTTAGGATTAGATACTTGTGCAGATTGATTGCATGATCAAGAGAAACGAGTGATAATTTGACAATACTTACTCGACTTTTTGGAAAGCCATCGATGCGGCATGGCATATAATAGCTAACTTTAACTAACGAAGCTATAAGATCTTTTGCTGCTCCCAAAGACTCATCCATTTCAATGAATCTCGCAGTGGCTGGTTGCAATACCTTTGGTGACGGTGGAAGTCCCAAATCTGTAAAGTCCCATAACCCTGTCGAATCTTTGAAACAAATCGGACGGTTCATTAATGTAAATTAAATAGTAAAAAATATACACGCAGATTTCAAAAATTTCTTACCATTCCTTACAGCTAATCTAAACCTTGACCAATGTTTTTCCACCTGCACGACTGCTACGCTCGTCGTGTGAATATCAGCTATAGAATAATAAACAACTGGTATTCGCTCACGATCAGGAATGTCTTTTATCGCTTCAATAAACGTTTGTAAATTTGGTGTTGGTTTATTATCCACCGATGCAATTATCCATCCATGATCAGGTCCATCTAACCGGAACATGCCAGCCGGTTCTGCCACATATACACCACCAACGGGCACACAATATGAACGAGCTAGTTGATAGGACAGTTCATTCAGTTTTGCTCCACCAATTTCAACATATCTATCTGGTGTTCTAAAGAAATAAAAACGAGAGTTACACAAAGACATTTATAGATGTAGATAATAATCATGATATCAACTCACATTAAATGTAAATCGTGAACTGTCACAGTAAAAGTTGTAGGCTTTCCTCCTCGTTCTATTGTTATCTCAATCTCTTGACCTACGTGTGAATCTAATAAATCATCTAATGGTACAAATTTTGTAATATATTGTCCGTTTATTTTAATTAGTATATCTCCTTCTTCCATGTGAGCAGAAGCCGGGCCTTTAGGTACCACGGTTTCGGCCACCAGCATTCCTATCTCCTCTGGAAAAAGTTCACGTATTATAGCTTCGGTCTCTTTTTGCAACCCGAGACGTCGAGTTTCATCAAAGGGTTTATGCCTGTTTTTAATAACATCATTCGGTATGAATATATATGAATTGATATAAAACTGACAAATATGAAGTAAATCATTAAACACTTTACAGAAATTGAACTTGGATAGTGCCTCTTGGGGCCGTTTCACCTTTTTGTATATATTGAAGTGCACGCGCTATTCGATCTAACGGCAGGAAGAAATCCGTCGCGGCTTTGGTGTATCCTCCTATAATATTGCGAGTACAAATTAGAAAGTATAAAGTGAAAAATAGGCTTATTCATATCAAAATAAGATCCAAACCAGCTTGTAATCCGACAGCATTTCCATGGATGTCAATTACAGGACTTCCGGAACTACCGCCACTAGTGCTCGACGCGGCTTGTCTATTTAATGAAAACATTATTAAGCTGCTAGACACACGAAAATACAATAACGATGATGATACTCACAAATAGAAAGTACTGTGATTTAAGGAAAAATCACATAAAAAGAACCACCAAAGAATTAAAAAACCAATTTTTTGGATTTCGTCAACAAATTGATTAACTCGCGTATTAGCCTAAAGTTTGTCCCCACTCACTTGAAGTCGTTATACGTCAGATCGCCGTACTCTGGCGCATTCCTGTCCAATCGTGAGATCGAGCCAGCCAGAATCGATAATTTCTCGCCAGCATCATTACCCACAACCCGTATATCAAGCCCAACTTTTGCCAGATGTGGTGCAAGAGGTATATCAATAATTGGCATATATTTTACTTCTTTTGGATCGAACTTTAAAAAGCTGGAAATGTATAATAAAGATAAGAAACGTGACGCAAGCCATAGAATTCAAGAATATATAGATATTCAAATACCCAAAATCATGCACCGGGTCGCGATATACTGGATAAACCGATACTTCCTCATGATCGTGACATACTGCCTCACCAACAAATGGCCCTGCGCAAGCTACATGTCTTTTGATTTCACAGAAAATCCAAAAGATCTCTTAGATGTTGAACCAACTTCTAGACATAATAAAAAAAATAAGCCACTGGTTACCTGTTGGTCAAAATAATGCCACGTTTAGCATCAACAATAAAACCAGAAGCTTCCGAATTTTCAGGACCTATTTTAACATGAATATAATGTTATATATAGAGGCTCTCAAAGCTTTAGGATAAAACTCTCCAAAAATACCTTCTGTATCAAAGGCAGCAACTTGACTGAAACGAATAGACACGATTGCTGTTACCGCTTTTTCAATAGTGTCCTGCCATGGAGGTGGTTGCAAAGCTGAGAACGAAGTATTTGTTATTGGTTCTTCATTTTGTTTTTCACCAATTTCCTGACGCTTTACACTTTGTATTGTGAGAGAATTAGTCCGTCGCCTTTTGTGTTGTTGACCAGGTCTTTGAATGGTCGAATTAGAGTCACCGTTCTCCATCTGAGTATTTTCCACGTCCGCGTCCATTCAAACAAGTAACTATCAAGATCAAAGTTCAAAAATAAAAGAAAATTTCCCGAATGTAA